GGTTAAAGGAGCTCTGGGAGATGACAGTTCACCAAGGTGAACAGAAAAACTCCTATTATTCAAATAGGACTGGAAAAACTTTAAGACAGTGCCCTTTAAACCGACACAATGTTGAAGGCGGGATAGCAGTATGTTGTGATCAACAGTGTCGAAGGCTGCTGTCAGGTCCAGGGTTACTAAGACAGCAGCACAGTGATCAGCAGATATTAGCTGTAGCTGCTAACACTATTTGGGATTGTATTCATGAACAGTATGTGTTCAAAGTAGACGGTATGAAAGATGGACGCATCCATCAGGTCTGAGAAATTAATGAATAATTTACTGTTTTTATATAAAATGCTAATTTCAGCTGGTAGAAAAAAAGCCCCTAAAAACTGATTGTACTAAGATTTACTAATGTGTTGGACTCGCAGGAACTGTTTTGGTGTGGATAAAAGTACTGCCAGTATTTACAAGATTATGTAAGATTTTCAGTTCAATTCAGTTTTATTTATACAGCGCCAAATCACAACAACAGTGTGAAAAACTCCTTTTAACAGGAAGAAACCTCCGGCAGAACCAGGCTCAGGGAGGGGCGGGACCATCTGCTGTGATTGGTTGGGGTGAGAGAAGGAAGACAGGATAAAGACGTGCTGTGGAAGAGAGCCAGAGATTAGTTGCATATGTATTTGTGTAAATGAGTTCCTTTCTCAAGGTGAAAATATAAGGAGGAGAATATTGAAATCATACATGCAAACTGTGTGACACCCCCACCCTAACCACCCCTACTGTAACTTTTCAAAATCACCTATAGACCTAACCACACCCATGGCTGCTGTTTGAGCATTTACAGATCTGAACTGATCTGTGCTAATGAGCTCAACTCGTCGTCTTTGCGATGCGTCCTTGTCTCAGCAGATTGCCAGTTGGTTTTGTTCTGATTATATATAAAAAAGCAAGCTGACTTTGTGCTGAGTGTCTTTTTGTAACTGTTTGTGCTTCAGACCTGTGAGGCCGGCCTGAGAGTGTGAGAAGTTGATGTGAATTTCAGTTTAACTGAGTTTCTGTGTATGCAGTGCTGTTTTTTTACATAACTGATTGCAGCTAATCGCTGTATTATCACAAACGGATTTCACGTTAATGCCGACTGGATTGTATTTTACTGCTAACCGGCAGCAAACAGACGGATTCGGCCTTATCGGTATCTCATCAGCATCTCGATGCACCAACGTCGCTTTGAAGCTGGTTGCTGACAGTGAGAGGTCACAGACCCAGCCGCTGCACGTCTTTGAAATAGTTACTTCACAGGTAATGAAATCACACGTTCCATGGACATCGTTGCAATAATGCGATGGTGTGGTCTGATCCACTGTTTTCCATAGTGCCAGCGTGAAATTAACGTAAGCATCACCGTTCACCTGAATTTCTATTTGAGCGTGCCCGACACGTCAGTCGGCTAACACCTCGGAGCGCTTTTCATTTCAGTGTAAGAGTCAGGAAAATCATGGGAGCGGAACTATGATGGAGTGACACAGAAGTGGGTAAAGGTTCAACGTGAGCGCACGGCTGGCTGGACAAACACACACGTATGTTCTGTGTACACACACAAAGGGTCAGCTGTGGTGTGTGGTGATGATTATATCGAGTCTGCGTCATGCAATTTACGACTTCCCACCATCGAAACTGAATTCCGATGGAATTCCGGATCTCCAAGTCACTTCCTTCTGTGTACTCGCACCTGCTGCACACACACGCAGCCCACGCTGTGTGAGGGTGAACCACAGGCATGCTTCTAATGCTTCGTGTACTGTTCTGTTATTTGAGGACGCAGCATTTGTCTGCAGTGTGGCTGGCTTAGAGCTCTCTCATACAAACACTCTAAAATCCCGAGTGCAGATAGATAAGATGGATGGGAGGCATAGGTGGGGGTTAGCCTGTTGAGTCACAGATAGTATGATGACACTTTGAGTAGTGTTGCACTATGAATGATAGCACACAGGCATGAGGCGCCGTAGAGCCAGAGAGGCTGAAGGGGAGAGGAGTGAGCGGAGCGTGGACGCAGTGTGAGTGTTGGCGCTGTGTATGACTTATTGTTCTGTCTGTACTTTCCAGGTTTACAACGCTTGTTTTTATGTAATTAGGCCACTGAAGACTCTAAATTCTGATTAACTTTCTTTCCCTGTGTGGATCAAGTACTTGGATCTATTGCTTGAGTAGGAGTAACATCATATCCTAAAACATGTTCTAGTATTATCACCATCAAAAGACACCAAAATAATGGCTGATATGTAGAATGACCCCTTTTCACATTTGTGTATGTTTTATTACAGTTGTTGATCGA